GGTGCTTCTTGCGCTTTTTACGGCCGCCCCGCTGTCGTTTTTCCCCTCCATAAAACCCGTTCACGTCATCCTCTTCGGCCGTTGCAGCCCAATCCGCAAGTGACGTTTTTGTTGGGGGTTTGGTGGCTATTCCAGACACAGGAGATGTTCCCACAGTGGAACCCACGACAGGTGCCTTGGGTATGCCAGGCTTAGCCTTAGTCTTCTGGGAAGCCAACTGAGGTCTTTTGGTAGGTTGAAACCGTAGAGAAGCTTAAATTCCATGGAGCATATCAAACAGGGCGAACGAGTGAGCAAACCAAATCGGATAGAGTAGAGATGTATGGTCAGGGAAGGGTAAATTGGCTACCAGCACTTATCTGCTGCTTCTTTGAAGCTGCATCATCTTGAGGCGCATCATTCTCGCCGGATTGTTTAAATACAACAGGAGCACGCGAGATAGTGCCAGGGGCCGAGCCATTATCTGAAGCCGGATCAAGCAAGTTGGCGTACAGCGACATCATGCCCCCTTTGGGGGGAGGTTGAGAAGCCATAACTACTTCAAAGCGTGGGGAGTGAGTATCAACAAGAAGATACTCGTCGTTCATGTTGTCGCAGAAAGTGCCCGTTGACGCTTGGCATGTTTGCAGCGTTTTGCACCGGCAGAGTCTCGATCCGGATTATTTATTATCCGTCATGCTCCTTGGTTATGTGTCTTTCGGTCGAGATGTTCCGCAAGATGACCGACGTGCGTCATTATGAATGTGATTCATAAACCGCCGAAAGTATTTTCGAGTGATATTTGCTTTGTTTTATTTTTATCGTGATTAGGATTGGCATAGTTGTGAGCAGCATTGGGAAACCTAATCTAGTCATGTCTACGCTTGCGAATTCATTCACTAGCTCTGCTGCCACTGCCATTATCATTCCTGGCAAGCCGAATCCGTTAATAATTTCGTACCAGCGCCTACGTTCTGATGTGAACTCATTCCAAGCGAAACTGGCCAAGCTGGGAATTTCGCCAGGAGCTGCTGTTTCAATTGCGCTGCCCAATTCGTACGAATTCATTGTATCTTTTCTGGCTGCGTCATGGCAGAGAGCCATTGCGGCTCCTTTGAACCCTGCATATAAGCAGGAAGAATTCGAATTCTACATTGATGACTTGAGTTCGGCATTAACGCTCATCCCAAAAGGCTCCTTTGCAAAAGATGGGCCGGCCGTACTTGCTGCGAGGAAATACTCTGCTGCTATTGCCGAATGCTACTGGAACGGAGTTGACTTGGCTTTGGACGTGAGAGAATATGGAAAATTGGCCGGGAAGTGTGATTTAAAGAAGGAAACGGCTCAGCCTGATGACATCGCATTGGTGCTCCATACCTCAGGTAAGATCTGTCTTAACAGCTGGAAAGCGTAACAGTCAACTCGGTCTCAAATTGAGTTCTTGAGCCGTCCAAAACCAGTGTTCTTCATTTAGTTTCATTGTTGATCTATGCCCTCGGTATAAGTAGCTAATACTCAATTAGGCACTACTGGTAGACCGAAAGCTGTGAGTTGGCCACAGATATCTGCCAGCAAATATTATACTTACGATGATTAGGTACCCCTTACACACAGGAATCTGACAAGGACCATGAGTATGTTCTATCTTCGTAGACTCTGACTTCTTATTCTCTGGTTAATCGAAAAATACTTCAGGAAACATTCAAATGACCTACGACTTGACGGAAAAGGACCGAACACTGCTCGTGATGCCTCTTTTCCACGTTCATGGGTTGCTCGCAGGGTTCCTGGCACCTCTTTTGTCCGGGGGCTCAGTCATTGTCCCTGAAAAATTCTCAGCTTCGACATTTTGGTCTGAATTCATTACGTACAGCGCGAACTGGTACACTGCAGTACCTACCATTCACCAGATTCTCCTTAAGACACCACTCCCGGAACCTATGCCAAAAATTCGATTCATTCGCTCCTGTTCCTCCCCATTATCCCCAAAGACCTTCCATGAATTGGAAAAGACTTTCCACGCTCCGGTACTAGAAGCGTATGCAATGACAGAAGCAGCCCATCAGATGACGAGCAATCCTCTTCCTCCAGGGAAGAGACAGCCAGGTACTGTTGGGATCGGCCAGGGAGTGGAAGTTAAAATTCTTGACGAAGATGGAAACGAAGTTCCTCAGGGATCTGAGGGCGAGATCTGCGTCCGTGGGGAGAATGTTACCAAGGGATACCTTAACAACCCTGCTGCTAATGAATCCTCTTTCACAAAGTCTGGATTTTTCCGCACTGGCGACCGAGGAAAGAAGGACAAGGATGGTTACATTTTTATAACGGGGCGCATCAAGGAGCTGATCAATAAGGGAGGCGAGAAAATCAGCCCTATCGAACTGGACAACACGATTGCTCATCACCACAATGTAGCGGAGGCGGTTTCTTTTGCCATTCCGGATCCTCACTACGGCGAAGATATAGGGGTAGCAGTTGTGTTGAAGAAAGGTGGAAATCTGTCAGAAGACATGCTGAAGTCATGGATTGCGCCTAAAGTTGCGAAATTCAAAATTCCCAAAAAGGTGAAGCCTGCATATCTCAAATCATCACCCCTTATCTAACAATGCGACTTGAAATAAAATGACTTCTATCATATTTATATACATCAAGCTAACGCGTATATTCTCCCTCACTCCCAGATATGGATCCTTTCTGAAATTCCTAAAACCGCAACAGGTACGGACTTCGCAAACTCTCTTAGACGATTTGATGTACGTAAGCTAATATGCACAAAGGCAAAATACAGCGTCGAAAGGTCGCGGAAGCGATGTTGAAGAAAGAAACCCCAAGTCCAAAGTTGTAAACAAATCGAAAAATACAATCACTATCAGTTCAGTATTGCGACGATAGAGCCAGAAATATGTAAATAGATCGTTTCGGCATCTCTTCCTTTTTACCGCGCATCTTGGTTAAAGGATATATTCATCCTCAATCCCTTTGGCTTTTTACGTTCTGAGATTGCAAATATTAAGGCCTATATATGGAGTTTTCAGTCTGTTACACACTGTCACCTTTTGTTACACATTCTTTCGATTCATGATTATAATAGTTTCCCGTTTGCCATATTTTTCTTGCATATCGAGTTGATGTTTAAATATGAAATAACCGTCCAATCCCCTTTTTTCGCTACATACCTATCGAAGTTATCTACAGGCAATTCTGTATATGGCAGGGATACCACGGAAAAACATATTTGATCTAGATATATGGTCAAATGATTTCAATGATATTTGATTGTCATTATTCTTCCTATTTTGGTTGATTTCGGACAATTTCACACATTTTTTTTGCCAACGAAATTGTTAGACACAAAATAGGAATTCTTGAAAAATGAAAACGAGGTTCAAAAGAATACTATCTTATGTAGCCAATTTGCTAACCAGCACAATGTATGTGATTGGAAATCTTCAAGATCGTCAAAGACAGGAATCTCATCATGTAGCGATATACTCCAAAACCTCATGAACAGAAGGGTTTGACTGAACATAAATATACCTGTGCAAACTTCATATTGAGCTTGTTGGTTGATTTGAATTCCTCTCAGGCTCTAACATCGTTCAAAACCACATATCACAGGGCAAGTCGTATCGCAGATTTAAACTAGTTATGGATAAATTAGATTGGAAACATTATACGGGGCTTAGACGTACTGGTGTTATTTGCATCTTAAGGATTAAATTAGTATTGGGATATAGCTTTCATGAAATAGAAAGAATGTAGGGGGGCGCGGGGGGGTTACAGGCATTGCTAACGAATAGTTTAACGTACCTTTTCAATGTCCCACACTCCTGACGTGGCATAGATATCCTTTGATAATTGCTCACGTACGGCCTCAGAAGACTCAGCAACCACAAGTAACACACTTCCTTTCATTGGGGGCGTTTGACCCTCTTTGGGGTGGAATTCAAGCATAGCTCCTAAACGTCCAATGATTAGGCGATGATTGCGTTGATTACCAATGCCTGGGGCTCTCGGGCGATAGCATATGAAAATCAAAAAAAAAAAAAAAAAAAAAGTTTCGCTTTGGTAAGTACTGTGAGGGAATGAGCTTGTACCTCCAAATTTAAGGAAGCCGGAATCCATCATCGGTTTGGTGTTCGCAAGATGAACGCTGCATGAGAACGAATGATTAGCCAGGTGTGGACATAAATGGTTCGATACGGAGATTGACATAGCAATGCAGTTTTTCATCGTGTTTCTAAAAGCATATTTCCACTGTGGAGGGCCAACCCAAAGAAGCAGAAGGCATCGATAACAGCAAGCAAGGACGAAAAAGAGTATCAGTAGTATTTTGCAAACTCACCCTCGTGCTTCTATTCTCTTTTGCAACGCACCCTCCTTATCTGGCACGATGACCATGTACTCATTTTTCGCCCCGGCTATCGACCCCATATTCCGCTGTAGCCGACTGCTGATAGATGAGCACGAGGGATACTGTCGGGCTACGAGATTTGTTGCAGCAGGTATCCTCTGTTGATATTGGTATAAATGATGAAAACTGCAACGACTGTTAAGGAGGACGAAGGTGTTCCGGGCGGCCATCACGGGTAATGGACAACTATCCACCTACTTAAATACTGAGTAATATATCTATCGACTTGCGTGTGTACGTGGGATACGGAGTAGATGCTAGTAGATATAGTAGCTCGCGAGGAATGGCTGAACGTTGGATGCGCTAATCTCCTCTCGTCGGCATGCCGTAGGGCGTCCAGTATATTGGAGAGCCGTCAACACCAAATAATCTACAATCCTCTCACTCTTTCAATCTTACTCTGAAGAAAATTCATGAAATCCGCCTTGTACTAGTACCCAGAGCCCAGTGACTGAGCCTCGGGTCAAGGACAATCATTCCAGGAACACAATTATTGTTTTTGGGGATACCGGTGACCCACAGAATAACCCCTAAGCACCGTAAAGTTGCCAAATCACCTCCTGGCTGCTTGAAATTTCTTTTCCGGGAAGTCGGAGCCTAGTTACCAGCCCTCGTAGCCCAATGGTAGGGCGTCAGACTTCTATTTTCCCAGCTTGGAAAAAGCAAATCTGAAGGCTGCGGGTTCGAGTCCCGCCGGGGGTAGATCTCCAACAAATGATATTTTTTTTCCCTGAACCCCTCCCCTTTTTCCTTCCCTTAATGACAGCCTTTAACTTTATTGGACCACAAGAATTGCAATTCCCTGTCAATATGATCCATGCTTCGTGAAATAGTGCATCAGATCTAGGACACAATGGCGCCCTGGTTTCCCCAGTAAAGTGTACTGATTCAGGCTGGTGGCTTCGCTCCTCTTGTTCAAGCAAGTTGTCTCCCATCATTCTCCCATCATTCGTGGGGCGCCATTTACCGGAACATGTGGCTGTGTCTTACCACTGTACGGTCACATGACGTTCCAGGCATGCCCAATTTTGATAAGAAAACCACACCTTTGTTTCCGTTCGGCTTGCATCCTTGACCCTCACACCACTTTTCTTTTAATCCCCCGTCGTTTTGGTTCCCTTTCTACATATTCCCTTACACAGATCACTACCGCTGCCATCCCCGCCATTGCGCCATAGACCAACCGCGATTCCAAACTATCGGTATCTACTTTGTCCTTGAGTGACGAACTGAGTTCTCGGTCTTCTGCGAAACTCCTTTCGGCAATCATATTCCTTCCCCATATTGCAGGGCGCTCATTAGCAGCCATGTCTCTTTGTGTAAATCGTCTAACTGAGGAACGGTCAGTCAGACACAGCTATGAGTACCGGTTCTATCTTGGAGGTTTTCCCAGATGCCCTGTACTGACGAATGTGCTTTCGCATTTCTTCCTCTAGAAAGCAATGGCGGAAAAACCACCCCTACGGCTTCTATGCAAAACCACGTAGAAATGCAGCGGGCGCGCAGGACATGAAGTACTGGGAGTGTGGCATTCCTGGTAAAGAGAAGACCATATGGGCGGGGGGTTTGTTCAAGTTGGATGTCATCTTTCCTGAAGGTAACATGTGCTCTAGCACAACTCACTTCATTTCCTAACAGTGAGCAGGTAAATCTAGAGAAATTTATTGCTAACTGCTATTGATTTATACCTATTATAGAGTACCCTACCAAGCCACCAAAGTGTATGTCGAACCCTCATGACCTGTGAGGCTTATGTCCTCTTTCTACGGGATAAACACCTCACCTCTGATGGAGTATTACAGATGGGATTTTTTTTTTTTTTTTTTTTTTTTTTTTTTTTGAAATAAAAACTTACCAAAAAAAACCAAAACCAAAACCAAAAACAAAAACTAACTTATCTCAGGCAAATTTGTTCCCCCACTCTTCCACCCAAACGTCTACCCCTCCGGCACCGTCTGCCTATCCATCCTCAATGAAGAGGAAGGCTGGAGACCAGCGATTACCATTCCACAGATCCTTCTCGGTATCCAAGCCCTTTTAGACGATCCTAATCCGGATTCGCCTGCCCAAGCTGAAGCATATACCCTATTCAAGAAAGACCGTGCTGCTTACGAAAAGAAAGTGAGGCAAGTCGTTAGGGAAAACCCGGCTTTGTAGCATTTGTGAATGTGGTGGCGATGCCGCGACAGCAGTCCCCCGGGTGCTCGCCGAGGGCACTTCTCTTGATTTATAGCAGGGCGTCTTGGTTGTTATTTTATTTTACATTGGCAATCTTTCGTGTCAACTTATTTTGATTTCTTCGATATTTATTTGTTGTTGTTGTTTTTTTTTTTTTAAATCCCCAACACTGCGTTTCCCTTTTACATGGTTTGTTCGAGACTGCACGATAAATGGTGTTCGATGGATAACAATGACCTACCCTTACGGAGCTAGATTTGGAGAGACAGATAGAATTAACTGAGAGCTCCAACTCAATTCATTTTTACACCAAACAAGGCGTCACAGCCTGCGCGCACGTTGTAGCTAACCGTTTTTGGGGCTTCTAACCCTTCTGTACCATAATCTAAGTAGTAACGGCCCATAATTGGCGCTTACAATGAACCAGGTGGAGCTTTGTTCACAAAATGGAATAACACCTGTTGGTTCAAGGTTGGGGGTAGGGATAATGGTATTGGGTTAGCCCAGCCTAGATAAACAAGGGTGAAGATAAGAAGGAATGGATACTGTTAGCGGATCGGTGGAGGACTGAGTATGGAGTATGGGATGCAGACAAACATACGCCCATATGGACAATAATGGATAGTGAACTGTGCAACCAGAGCACCAAGATAACTACCGAAGGCTAAGAGAGAAGAGACGGTTGGCCCTTCACATATCTTATCTTATCAGAAATGGAAAACTCGCCATTTTCCAAGCAATGACTCAAACTTTGTACGGGACCGAAAAGCTAAAATAAAAGGAAAGCTAAAAAAAAAAGGAAAAATAAAATAACACCCCTCCGATTTCGTGGGCTTTCCAATCGTGCAACAAAAGGTTTCGCCCGCTTTCATTATTTTCCCTTCTTGATTGCCATCCCCTCTTTTAAAGAAAGAATAGGCCCGGTCGTATATTCTCTCTTCTTAAGTATCCTGTCCCGTCAAGAGAAAGCAACAGAGCCGACACCAAAGGGTCGCGGTCATGTGTGGGATTTTCGCTTGTCATTGGTATGTGCAGAGATATATAAACATCTAGTCTCTTGTTTGAGATCTCTAGTGCTGGATAAAAAAAAAAAAAGGACCCTCTTCGTGCTAACGAGCTCTTTTCAATACAGTCATCCAGATGTACAAAAGTTCAAACCCACGGCGCTGCGCATGGCGAAAGCGTGAGTGCTTTCAACATCTCCCCCCGCCACACCTTGGCTGAGTGGTTATTATTTATTTATTTATTCATTTATCTATTTTTTGTTTGCGCCTCAGAGATCTCAATAAAAAGAGGCAAATGGAATGAAGTTGCTAAAATAATACTCTCTGTATATTCAGCATTCGCCATCGTGGTCCTGATTGGAGTGAGTCACACCTGGACAACCATAGCCCCTTTTTTTCAGGGTGCTGAAGGGCAGAAATGACCCCATTGTCAACTTTTACAGTTTGTTCAAGATGACTGACATATATCTCCTTTTTGCTTCAATATAGGTGGAAACTTCGTTGCAAACGACACAAGTCAGTATTTTGCGGATAGTTAACTGTCCCTCCGCTACGCGGAAGGAAGAATTTCTTTATCAGTAGCGACTTTTGACTGACTTAATATCATATCTCCCTCTCTAGTCCTTGCACACGAGCGGCTGAGCATTGTCGGTGTTGATTCTGGCGCCCAGCCCCTTGTCAATGACGATGGCACCCTTGCCCTGGCGGTCAACGGCGAGATTTACAACCACAGAATACTGCGAAAGGGTTTGAAAACCCCGTACAACTTCAAGACACATTCCGATTGCGAAGTCATTATCCCACTTGTGAGTTTTGATTCCCGCAACTCCTGTCCCATTTGCTTTCTGTTATGCGTTTCTCTGACCTTTATTCTTAATTCATGATAGTACCTGGAACATGGCGTTGATACCCCTAAATTCTTAGACGGCATGTTCTCATGGGTCCTGTTTGACAAGAAAGAGAACAGAGTCGTCGCTGCACGAGACCCCATTGGCATCACTAGTTTCTACCAGGGGTGGTCATCGCAAACGCCCGGTGCGGTATATTTCGCCTCAGAGCTGAAGAGCTTGCACCCCGTATGTGACAAGATTATGAACTTCCCTCCAGGTCATGTATATGATTCAAAAACAAACACGACGACAAGATACTTCGAGCCCAAATGGTGGGACCCCACCAACGTCCCATCCACCCCCGTCGACTACAAACTTATCCGTGAGTCTCTGGAAAAATCGGTGCGCAAACGGTTGATGGCGGAGGTCCCATATGGAGTTCTTCTCTCTGGAGGGTTAGACTCGAGCTTAGTGGCTGCCATCGCTCAGCGAGAGACGCAACGACAACAAGAGCTCTCTAGTCATCCAGTGGCTAACGGGGTTGACGGAGTGTCTTCAAACTCGGGTCTGATCGGTATTGACGATTCTAACGAGCTGTCCACCGTAACTACCCTGCCCCAGCTCCATTCGTTCTCTATAGGCCTCCCCGATGCCCCAGACACTAAGGCTGCGCTAGAAGTGGCCAAATTCCTCGGCACAAAGCATCATGCTTTTACTTTTACGCTGGAAGACGGCCTCAACGCCCTCTCCGACGTCATCTATCATCTGGAAACTTACGATGTCACCACCATCCGTGCATCCACACCGATGTACCTGCTGAGCAGGAAGATCAAAGGCCTGGGCGTCAAGATGGTGCTTAGCGGCGAGGGCAGTGACGAGATTTTTGGCGGCTACTTATACTTCCACGCAGCGCCGAGCAAGGAAGCCTTCCACGACGAAACCGTGTCACGGGTAAAAAACCTCCATCTCGCGGACTGCCTGCGGGCCAACAAATCTACGTCAGCCTGGGGCGTGGAGGCGCGCGTGCCATTTTTGGACAAGCACTTCCTCGAGGTGTCCATGGGCGTAGATCCGCAGGAGAAGATGATCACCAAAGATCGGATTGAGAAGTATATACTGCGCAAGGCGTTTGATACTTCCGATGACCCTGACGCGAAACCATACCTCCCCGATAGCATTCTGTGGCGTCAGAAGGAGCAGTTTAGTGATGGTGTTGGATATGGGTGGATTGATGCGCTGAAGGACAATGCGGAGTTGCATGTTACGGACGAGATGATGAAGAACCCCAAGCCGGAGTGGGGTGATGATGTTCCCGATACGAAGGAAGGGTAAGTTTGACAATGTTATTGTACTGCCCGAACAATTATACATCACGCCAACTGATGACACGATGGAAATGATACATGAGTGTGGCTAACTCGGGGTGATTAATGATCTCTAGATACTGGTATCGGATGATGTTCGATGAGCTCTTCCCGCCATACTGTGCATCGACAGTAATGCGGTGGACACCAACATGGTCTAAGCAGACTGATCCCAGTGGGCGGTATGTACAAACTTTTTCTCCCACCCACTTAAATACCTTGTAGGTATGTCCTAATAAACCGTCATGTGTCCGGCTGCAGTGCGATTTCAACACATATTGCCAAGTACGAGAGCCTAGAATAAATGCTACGCGACGAAACCACCA